CCCCCCTCCGGGCCTCGTGCTCCGTCCAGGTGAGCCGCGGGTCTCCAGGTGAACGAACCGGACCGATGGTTCCGGTTATCTCTGAGCAACAAGTGTAGTTTTCCGGCAAAACGTCGCGAAGCGGCACCGGACCGCCGGTGGGTTCGGATTAGGGACCGTTTTAACGGTTCTAATTTGACACGTTGAGCCCGATTTGATCCGAACTAAGCATCTGTCTCGGAACCAGGTCCTGACCGCCGTTAGTTAGCTAGCAGCTAGCTAACCTAGCTAGCCGGAGCGGGTTAACGGCTGCCCGGTTCCGGGCTCGGTCTGCGGCCCCGGAGCCTACCTTGGACTTGGAGCAGCTGACGGACCGCAGGGCTCCGAAGAAGATGGGCAGCAGCGCCATGAGCACCAGGCTGCCGTACGCCAGCGCGGTGCCCTCCGGGGTGGCCACGAACTTAGCGGTGGCGTTCAGCGCCTCGGTGCCGTTCGAGTCGGTGGCGTTCAGGGCGTCCAGGACGGCCGAGGCGGCGGCGTCCGGGGCCGAGGCCGGGACCTGCTCAGCCTCAGACATGGCGGTTCAGAGAGCGGCTTCAGGGGCTGCAGACGGAGCGGCGGGCGGAGGAGGAGGCTGCGGCTGCGGGGCTCATTCATCCACCGGAGCCGTAAGGCCACGTTCACTTAGCGGCACAGAGGGGCGCGGACAGAGCGCTCACTCCGCCGCTGCTCCGGAGACCCGCAGGTGGACTGAAGGGAGACTACCGGACCGAGTCCAGGCTCCGATCACAGCTGGACACCGGAAGGTAAAAGTCCGTGTAGTCCAGCCAGATCCCAACACATCAGGGTTTTATTGGCGGCCAGCCTCTGGACTGGTTCTGACGGTGGTTTCCAGTCCGTCTGTGTATCTGGTCATCATTTCAAGTCTACCTGCGTCTCTTTGGGCTCGTTTCAGTCTCGTTGGGGCCATTTTAAGCCTTTCTCGTCACGTTGTGCTCATTTCGCTGCTTTTTGTGGTGATTTTGTGTCTTTGCAGCAGTTTGTTGTTTGTTTGTCATCATCAGGAGGAACGTCCATCAGAGTGAAACATCTCATCATCATAGAAGATCTCTGCGGGGAGGAAGTAACGCTCTCCTTCGTTGGTGGAACAAGTTGTTCCGGCAGAGCGGAGCTGCAGCGCCGCCAGCGCCTCAGGTGGACCGAAGAACTGCAGCCTTCAGAAACAGACGTTCAGACGTGTTGTTTTACTGCATGCAGGTTTTTTCTGTTGGTTTTGTGGGTTTCTTTGTGTTACTTTGTCATTTTGTGTCTTTGTGATGTGATTCGCTGCCCCTCGGAGCCCCTGGCCCTTTAGACCTGTATACTTCTGGTCCTGTCAAGATTGTTTTGTGTGTTTTTGCATCTGTGCATTCTGTCCTGAAATAAGTGTTTATGTTGTAAAAGAAAGAGAAAAAAAATCAGCCTCAAATGAAAAGATTTTATTCCTTTAAATTCCAACATTAAAAACTTTACTGAACATTATAAAAACACACAAACAATCAAACTTCTTGTCATTTTCTGGACATTTACAGCAGCTCCTGTACAGACTGAAGCTGCAAACACACACAGGAAGTAGAAACAGAGAAACAGGAAACAGGAAAGTAGAGCTGATAACCAGTCCACATGTAGAGGCAGCGCCAGCCGCGGGTCTGCGGTTCTACTGACGCTGCTCAATGGCACTTTATCACTGCTCAGCTCATGTGGCTGGATAATACGAACTCACAGGTTCAGTTCTGGGTTTCTTTGGCAAAAACCTGCTGAGTTTAAAGTTACTTAAAGCTCTAAATTCTTGTATCTGACATCCTTTAATATAAGAAACATCAGTTAAAGACACCTGAGATCAGAGAGAACCAACGGGAGAACCAACAGCAGAACCTCCTCACAGGACGATCCAGGAGAACAGGAGCAGCAGGAGGGGCGTGGCCTGGAGCAGGAAGGGGGCGGAGCTCTTCAGTCTCACCTCGATGGGAAAATGATCACTCACCTCGAGAACCTGCAGACAAAGAGTTCACACCGATCAGAACCGCAGTTTGAGCCGACAGCATCGGACCACGAACAGAACAGAACCTCAGACCTCGACTCACCCTGGTCTTGGACAGTTTGAACTCTTTGGCAAAGTTGAAGACTTTTGCAGAGAACGGTGTGATGGCCTTCAGGAAGGGTTCTCCGTGTACCACGATCCTGATGCACACAGACAGAACCAGCCGTTACAGCGCCACCTGCTGCCAACAAGCATGACAACATCTAAACACCACGTAAACACATCGTCACACCTGTCGTATGCACAGTTTGTGGCATCCGTCACCGTCGTGTCGACTTTGTCTCCGATCAACCAGGAGAAGTTTGAGTTCTTGTAAAGTCGGATGTTCTTCCGGTCCTTTCTGGTGACGTAGGCGCAGCTGGCGTGGAAATCTCCGAGGAACATCACGTTCTACCAACAGAAGAGCGTAGAACAGGAGCTCAGAAACACGTTGATCTGAAAACAACATCCAAACTGGAGGTTCCAAACAGAAGCAGCCTGATGCTGGAACTCTGCACCGGTCACTCAGAACCGAGGCGGAGCTTCCTCCAGAACCAAAAACGTCCAGTTCTTCCACTGAAGCACAGAAGATATGTAGGTCTGAGCCATCCTGGGTAGAGAAGAACAGTGGAACTGACCATGTCTGAGCCACAGGTTCTTGTGAGGTTCTGGTTCCTTAAGTTCTAGAAGACACCTGGTAGCCATCTAAAACACTCTGACCTGCTGCTAACACCCGACTAGCACACACCAGAACGTACGACGCCGATCCTGTGTTCTGGTTAGAAACAGCTGAAGGTGTTTCGATGGTTCTACAACGTGTGACTCTAGATTCCAAGCAGCTGGTTCTGCTCTAACCATGAGGTCCTGGTTCCTCACCTTGTTGTTCCACTTCTTGCTGACTTCCTGGAAGACGTCGTAGAGCCGGTCGATCTCGTGGACTGCATTACTGGGCTCAGTGTGGAGCGGAACCAGAACAAACTGCTTGATCGCTGCAGGACACAAAACAAGAACAGAAAAGAGAAAGAAGGAGGCCAAGTTTGAAACTCAGCCAGCTCAGTTAGACAGAATTCTGTCATGTTCTGTGTCCACTGACCGGTTCTGTTGCTTTGGAACTGAACCACAAACGGCTCTCTGACGAAGGACTGTTTGCTGGAGTACTGGTACTGACCCGTCAGGTTCACCGTCTCGGTTCTGTTCGGACAGAAGCAACAGACTGATGTTGGTCAAAGCAGGTTTTAGAGAACCTGAACAGAACCACACTGAGACACCTGGAGGATGTAGAACTGATCCGACTGCAGAAAGTTCATCACAGCTCGTAGAACGTGTCGGTCTGTCTGAACAAGAACCTCAAATATTTAACATGTTCTGATGAAAGGAACCCAGGAATGGTTCCGATTCTTACATTAGACTCTGTTGATTAAAAATGACTAAACAAATATCAGGTTCTGTTATCAAAGTGGAACCAGGTGGGTCCACAGAGAACTATCTAGGACATGGTTTCTTAAAGAACCTATTTTTGCTGAACTTCTTTTGAAGCCATGAATGAAGCCTAAAGGAACCAGTTCTGGATAAACACCTTTAGGGGTTCTCTAAAGAATCGTTTGTAGAAATGGTTTTTTAAGGAACATATTCCTGCTAACGTTCTACTGGATTTATGAGTAAACATTAGAACATGCTGGTAGCAGGTTAGAACCAGTAAGAACTGGAGCCGATTTCAATTTTGGTCACTGTTGGACAAAAGAGTTTCATGGAAGCAAAGAGGACGAATCAGACTCGAGTCTGTGGACGAACAACAACACTATCATTATTATTATTATTATTATTACATTAAGCATATTTATGTTGAGCTTTCACTGCCACACTGTGATTTCTGAGCATGTACATTTAACAGTCGGTTTATTTGTGCTCAGATGCTTGAATCCTTCACATACAAGCTGTTGTGACAGACCGACGCCTCCAGGAGGCTGCAGGCCTTCACCTCAGGGTTTAAACTTGTCAAGCCGTGACACTAACAGGGACTTGACTTGAGCCAAAAATGGACATTTTAAAAGTCGCTCAGGTGAATGTGGAGCAGGACTCACCTGGATGCAAACAGCAGTCGCTACTTAACCTTTACTACTTTTTAAAGTCATGACTGAAGCGTGTTGCTGCCGCGTCGACTCGCTGCTTCAACAATCATTAAAGGTCAAAATTTTATCTCATCAGATCTCCTCCCACAGGAAGTTGTCCAGGCGTGTCCAGGTGAGTCTCACCTGTAGATGAAGACGTACTGCTGCATGTCGGCAGGTGACCTTCCCATACTCTGACTGGACACCGACTTGTAGGTGAAGTCGTCATACCTCAAACAACAGATGGAAAGAATCTGGTGAAGACAGCAGTCAGTGCACCAACAGAACACGAGCTGAACAGAACCGACCACAACCAGAACCACAAGGAACCATGATTATGGGTGATTTGTGTTAAATGATCCAGTCGGACTGCTGGTGACAATCAGGTGATCAGCTGATAACTCGCCTCAGAACAGGTTTACCTGGAAGTCTGGTCCAAACGGACCTCAGCTGGTTCTGCTGCAGTTGGTCAAACTCACATTTAAGGTACATTCTCTTTGTGTCTTATACTTTAAAGTAAACACACCAACATTTATCGTGAACAATGATTGAATTAGATGATTTATTTCCCCCAAAAATCCCCGTTTTGTGTGAATGTGTTCGTGGACGAACTCCCGGCTTCATGAAGGATTAAATTTACTCAAAATACTGACTGAAGACTAACTGATAGCAAAACCTTCTGGCTACGACACTGAAGCTAACGTTAGCATATCTAGTAAAACTTTACTTTAGTTCTCCTGTTCAGCATTTAAAGGCACTAAATATAAAGTACATCTGTGTAAAAGTACATTCTGATGTGATTTGAACTGCTGACAGTTTACTGTGCCTTTAAAAGCTACATAACATGCTAACAACACTGAAGCTAAAGTAGCCTAGCTGTCAGATCTGCCCAGTGGTGGAAAGTACATCATCTTTTACTTAGGTACACGATGGAGGTACTTTTACTGTACTTGTGTATTTTTATCTGTAATTGTAGGTAACTAGAGCTTTATACTGCATTAGCATCCAGCTGCTAATGATGCTAGTTACACTGAAGGTAAAGCGCTTATGCTCAGTCACGCTAATGCTACATGCTTCAGTAGAAGGCAACTAAACTTATTTATTGGTTCTTGAAGACTAGAACCCGGCTGTGAGGGATGACTGGAGGTTCTAATGAAACGGACCACTGCGTCATAAGAACCGGATCATAGGTCCATACGCTGTTGATCAGCTCCGAACAGTCCTGAGCTCGATTAAAGGGAACCCGGGGCGAGTTGGGCTGCAGTCACTTTAATCACCATAAATCATGTGAGCAGGGCTTCGATTCCATTAAAGTCTGTTCACAACATCAATCGTCTTTATTATTTAACCTCCTCACATGAATTCACAACACGTCTTATTTCTCTGCTGAAAGCACTTTGGCTCAAAAGATGTTGCTTCAAATGTGTTGTTTAAATAACC